AAATAAACACAACAAATAGCCTGTAGAGAGCAAACAAATTCAATCTAATTTAAAAATTTTAAATTACTATAACAGGAAATATCAGTTACTGGTACCATCACAGATTTCTTCGGCTTTGGACTGGGTGACAGCAAGTGATAATTTCTGGCAGGTTTTCGAATGTATATTTTCCATGTAGAAGAGTCTGGGTTTTCTGCTGCATAACATCTCCACGCAGTCTAGAACAAATGGTTAAAACAATTAGGGCAATTGGATTTGTAGCTATCTGTACTACAAAGGAACTTCCAAGTAGCACTTTAATCATTCTTTATTTAATAGCATTCTTGAATTTCCCCACTGGAAAAGTAAACTCAGCATAGTTCAGAATCTTTATTTAGTAAACAGAAAACACACAGTTTGAACTGGGCAAACCAGAAAGGAAGCTCAGGCTTTTCAAGTGCAATTTTTGTTTGCATTCGCAACAAACAAATAGTAAGAGAAAATTCTAGACTGGACTCAAAAGATTGGGGTTGAATTTCTTGCTCTGCCCCATTTTTACTCTCTGACCTTCACCATTTTGCCTATTGCATCCCGTGTTTCAGGCTCCTGCTTGGAAAACAAAAAAAATTGTTCTTTCTTGCCTTACAAGAGTACTATCAGGAAAAAAGCAATCGTGATGTGGTCAGTAGGGTTATATTCTTATGAAGAAATAAGACCAAGAGCATGAGGGAACAGCACCAGTGGTTAACCAGGAGCCAAAACCCAAACCCAATCCTCCCTCCTGCCAATCACCTAAAGTACTACGTTCTAAGACAAGGAGGAAAAGCAGGGTTAGGAAACATGACCAACTAGAGACAAAGCACTTCTGCATTCTCTCTTAAATGTGTAAATATTGTTTATTTGTTGATTAATAATTAGTCACCAAATTAAAAAGGCAGATCCTCACCTACGCTCTACATGAAATAAGGATACACATATATATGCACAAAATATAAAGTGGGAAAGGCCTATAAAGTGGGAAAGGCCAGAAAACACTAGATTAAAAAAACAAAGCAAGGCAGAATGACAGAGGAAAATAGACAACCCCTGGAGAGTAAAGGATCAGACAATCATCATATAATTCCCACCACGGTTAATAGGATACTGGAAGAAACAACTGGCCTCCAGGAGAAAACATGAAGGAATACAGGAAAAAAGTGTCACTCGTTTCAGTTGTTGTCTTGTACTTATTTCATAAATCTCTCTGTTTAAGGAGAATCCTTTTGTAAGTTATTTGTAGAGCACTTATTAAATTGGGCCTTTAGAAGTCTGAGACTATTAGTAAATCACAATTATCACTATTAAGAACAGGTAGTCAACAACTCACTGTCTATCCTCCACTCCTCCTTAACATTTCAGATGGAGCCAAGTACAACATTCTGGACATGCAGTCTCAGGCTTCTCAATAATTTGGGGTTGATTTCCCAAAAGAATCAGTAGGAACACTAAAAATTCATTCTTCACAAAACCATACCTTTTTCTGCCCATGCAATCCAAATGAAACACACTGAGTCTGAAGACTTTTGGATAATCTCTGCCTATAACCAGAGCCCTAAATTTAAACCTTTTTCACATTAACTCTGGGGCTGTTTAGTTTCAAGCATAAACTTTACAGTTAGCTACTGTTTCCATAAAGAGCCTGACCTGGAAATCCACATTCACTCATGAAGCTAGAGAAATAAGTCATATGAGAATGCAAAAATTATATGGCTTAGGTGTACATCTAGATTTCTTTTAAACTTGTTCCCTGTGCTTCTAAAGCTACATGTAGATACTGAGTAAGGGAGGAAAAGCTGGAAAAAGCTAGAATGAAACAACATTAATACTTCTCCAGGGTGAAATGCTGGTCCACTGAAGTAAAGGATAAAATCTCATTGACCTTACTGACACTGAACCGCAACTGAATTTTTAACAGAGAGGATCAAAATGTTTCTGCCTGTATGTCATCCTGCACAAAAAGTCTGATTTTGCAGAATCCCAGTGGTTTCCAGCCACCTATTCTGGAGCTGAAAAGTTCAGACAAGATTTTTTTTTTTTTCTAACTTAATTTTCTTACATTTGAGATTTTTAAGAATTTATTCGTCCCAAGCAAAATTAAGTATATTTAACATTTGCCTTTACAAGCAACAATGTATTGTTTTTTTAAAGTACAATTTTACATGAAGCCTCCTGCCTATTTTTCGCTATTGCCAGCATAGTATTTCATAAGGTTTTCCCCAGTTACATTGTTCTATAACGACAGGATAGTCTTCAGTCTTGATTTTAACCAGCTGAATTAAACAGTTTGCATCGATTTGGGAGTGAACATTTCTGCTCATTAGTTTACATTAAAAGTGGGATTTTCAAAGACTTGCATCTGTAACTCCTATACAATTTTTAATGGGAACCAAGCATGGAAATACTGCCAACAGTTTTGAAAAAAAAAAAACCAAACCCAAAACTCTAAATGGTAAGAAATGATAGTATCAAAATGCAGGAACTCAGTACCTGTATGAGAGAGGCAGCAGCTGGAATCTGACGGTTGAAATGTTTCTGTCTTTGTTTCTGTTGCACCTTCAGGGCAAAGCCTGAACCAAGAATTCCCTGTGGGAAGAAAGAAAACACAAATCTAATTTTTTTTTTTTAAGAGGGGGAAAAAAACCACACATAAGCTTGCCAAATTATGTTGCATTAATAAACTTCTATTCAGCATCATAAAACCCAACTAATTATTTAGAGGAAATGACTTAATACTGTTAAGTTTTTAGACTCAGTTAGTATTACTTGTTGAAACAAACTATGAATGCTATCATGCCCTGATCCAAAGCCTATTTAAGTCAGCTGGATTCAAATGCTGAAGAGCAAGTAGAAATGGTATTTCATACCCTCTAAAAGCCTCATAAATGCTTGTGCAGGGGAATGACAGAACAGGGAGAAATATTAACCTGATGTGCTTAACTTCATTTTTATGAGAAGTGAAGCTTTGGTGTGACATGATTCAGGTCACAAAGAAGATCTTTTAACTGTAGTATGGTCATTTCTATTTCTATATGTTAAGCCATGCTGGGAGGGGAGGGCAAGGAAGAAGAAAAGGAATATTACAGAATGGTCAAGAGTTCAGCAAGTTCAAAGCAAAGCCATCTCATCCATTCTTAGGAACAAGAACTTGGACTAATGGCACTGGATGCTGTACAACCCAAACCAGCTTCTGAACATAGTACAACTATTAAGCCCAAAATTAAGTACAGAGCAAGCCAATTATGTAATCATTTACATAGCTATAGAGACATTTAACAGAGGTTTTAGTAACATAGATGAAAATGAGATCTTCTATAAATCAGTTTACATGACCACACCTACTCAACAAAAGCATAATTCATTTTCTACATATGGTAGTCGAGGTGTCAGAGCAGCCAGTGATCTTGGCTCAACCTATAAGAAATGCATTAATCATCAAGTGTTTTGAAAGGAACAGGAAAGGCCCTTCCTATTACATTCATTTAGTAAAGATCAAAGAGTTAATGATGCTCAGACATCACTTATTTGGCAAATGAAGGATCGTTGCTAGATCCAGAACTCATACCAGTTGTGTTTAGCCACAACAATTACTTTTGACTGTGATCTCAGCCAGCTCCCCTTATTTAAAACAGCACCAAGGCAGCATGCAATAGTTACTACCTATCAACTGCTAAAGCATCAAACCCTGAATTTGCCCCTTGGGCCAACTCACAAGAACAATTTAATTCAGTAATAAAATCACACTGATAAAGAGGTGCTTGCTGTTTGATTTCTACACACAACTAGGGAAATCTGACAGGTAAACATAAAAGCATTACTGTGAAGGTGGGGCTGCTACACAATTATTTATACAACATCTTTGCTGGCATTCAGGTCTGAGGAAAAAAAAAAACAAATTAGGTCTTCAGTCAAAATAGTAGCTTTTGGCATTTTTCTTACCGTTTAACTTACCAGATGTGTCTTCTAAACAAGGAATAAATGTGAAAGAGATTACAATGCGGGGGGCAGGGAAGAATACACTTTAAAGGCAAACTGATGCTGGAGAGTATGAAAATCTACACTGAATTACTCTTCTGCAAAAGGCTGCATACCTTTAAAGTAAGTGACTAATTTTAATAAGCCACTGGAATTTTAGTAGTTACTATTTCATGTTGTGAAGAATTTTTGTGATGGTACTGGCATAAAAATATTCTTCTCATCCATTCTTTACTTATCCTCACCACTTCCCTGCCACAACTACACTAACATCTGCTAACACAACTGTTTGTGTCTGAAAAACTTGCTGAAAAATAAATATTTTAACAGCACAATTCAGGAGTACTGCTAAATTTGTGAAAAAAAATATCCTTAACTACCCTTGGCGCTGAACGTTTCAGGTTTTCAAACCACAGTCTAGGTTTTGCTGACTTTGAATTTACCCTTGGTACTCAAGTGCCGTATTTCTTGTTAGAAAGTACTTGGGAACCTGTTTTAGTGCAAAGTACCATAACACCTTTAAAAGCTCAGCCCTAGGTCACTCTGGAAAGTAGAGCTTTGGCCAGGGACATGTTAATTTGGCAGAGAGCTGCATCAGCATCCCTGGCTGCTTATTGCTGTCTCTCTGCCAGTGGCACTTTTTTGACAGCTTTGCTAGAAGGATGTGTATGAGAACTCTACAGTTCACCCTGGACCTAATTAGATGAGTAAACTATGAGCAAATGCCTTAAAAAACCAAAACATCACTGAGTCCAGAGGTAATTAGCATGAGAAATACTTTCCTTTACACTTCTGAGACAGGCAGAAAAAGTATTTTGAAACATCCCTTTCTCAAATACACACCAAATCTAGCGCTGCGTACAGTAAACACTTTTTTTATCTACTTATAGAAGCTCTTTGGTTTCTACAAGCTACGTGTATTTTAACTGCAATATAAACATTGAATACAAAGCTTTGATAACATCAGGTTAAATGAAAGGTTAAAGAATCAATAACAAAAGTTTCCTTTGATGACTAATGAGTCAACGTGAAATCACCAGCAAAAGCAGAAGATAACCTACCGCAGGCAGTGCAAAAAATGAAATTGCAAATACTGAAAAACAAGATGCAATTGTCTTTCCTATCCAGGTCTGAGGCACTTTATCACCATAGCCAATAGTTGTAACAGTCACCTGTAAAGAGAAACACATAGAGCATTACAGCAAATATTAATGGGTCAGGTTTGAGCTGTTGCTCACTCTTCCTTTTTTATTTACTTTAAAGAAACATTAGTTGCATGCCCAACTCTTCCAATGACATTGGGAGAGTCTGTGTGACATTAATAAAGGTAACTGCTCTCCAGGTTTGCTTCCCCCCGCCCCGTTAAGAGACGGAAAAAGGTACAGGAAATTGAATTACAATAAAACACGTGTTTAAAATCTTGTAAAGTAAAACCATTAATTTAAGTCTTCAGGGCTGAGGCAACTTTACCGCATATGAAGTTATGGGGATATGGGCTGCCTGCCCACGTCACACACTTTCCTTAGCAGGAGGGTTGCCAACAGTTCTGAATTGCTGATTTTCTTTACAGGCAGGAGATGTTTGCTGAGAGCATTACAGCATTACACAGAAAGAGTATGTGTGTATATATATATATTTATATGTATATGTACACACTGTAACCATGGACTAAGACTGGGGTCAGACATGAAGTACCCTACAGAATAATATTGGTATAAATAGCAAGAGAAACTGAAAAATTTCCACACAGCAACAGATCCTGAAAACGTAGTTAACAAATCACTAATTCATATGATACATCGAGAGCAAGAACAGACAATTTAATGCACACAGGCAGGAAACATCTGTTGAGTTGGGGTTTCAAAATACTGAAGTAAAGATTACTACCATGGTGATGTAGCCTAACGAGGCTCAGTAAGTCATTTGCATGAGCTCCAGGAAAGAATGGATTTGTTTGAAGCAAGAAGGATACATTTGGCATCTGAGAGCAATTTAAATTCACCTATGTCACAAGCTCTTTCTGAATTGGGAAATTAGAGAGATTGTTATCTGTGACTTTGAAGAAGGCTGACCAAATCAGAGCATGTGAAGCCACACAAAGCTCTCCAGCAGCTGAAGCACCTCAATTGGTGGCTGTTCAGATTTGCTGCTGACAGTATGGGCTTCAGCTGCCCAGGACACCTTCTCACATCAAAGAATATGAGAAAAGGTAGTGGGTTTTGCCTCAAGTTTGTTTCTTTTTTTTTTTAAAGATATTTACAAATCCTTGTCATTGAAGAGTTTTATCAACTATTCTGTGTTACATTCCTAATGTCATATTTAAACATATATATTAACTAGAAATGAAAACCAGGTGCTTTTAAGCTGACTGAAGTATAACTATAGAAAAATTCATATACAATGCAGAAGTATTTGTCTTTTCTTTCCCACCACCACCCCACTCATCCCTTCTGAATTGGTCTGGATGAAGCATCAGTGACAAAAGAAAAATATTTTCCATGCTGTTTGTTAGGGAGTTGGATTTAAAAAATAAAATAAAAAATAAATTGGCAATTGGGTAGCCAATCAAAGGTTGTGTTTAAGTTAGCATTTTTCTCTGCCCTCATAACTCTAATCCATCTACAAAAGTATTATATCCCAAAATTACATTTTCTTTTTTTCCTAAGATATATGCTGTTGAAACCTTACATGCCAAGTTTCTGCCTTAAATGAATTTTTACAGCCAGATTATAACCCCCTGAAGAGTACAAAACTAATTTTACAGTTGCAAAACAGGATCTTATAATGGAAATACTGACTCAACTTCTACTCTAGCATAGTAAATACATTGTCATAATGAAATTAAATTGATACAAGAGCTCACACATTAAATTTTCTCTGCGAAGCAGCATGGAAAATTAATTGTTTTAATTAGGGACAAAATTATATTCTTCTATTGACTATTTCACAACTTTGATCTGATGTACATCACCACAGGCTTTGGTATTAAGACTGATCTTGTTCCTATTAAATAAGCATCAATAGTCTGAAGAAGGAAACATGAAGCATAAATCCACAGAGCAAGAAGAAATAGCAATGTTCAATCAGCACTGAATAGGGGAGGGATTTTATTCAAGTCTGCCAGGCTAAAATGAGCACTGCAAACTGATCAGGTGAGGAACAGCTGAAATCCTTGCTGTGTGCCTTGCAAAAACCTGGATAGTTAAACAGCTACAAAATACAAGAACATGTGGAAGATCCCCCCTCCCTGGAAGTATTTAAGGCCAGGTTGGATGAGGCTTTGAGCAACCTGGTCTAGTGGAAGGTGTCCCTGCTGCTGGCAGGGGGGTTGGGACTGGATGAGCTTTAAGGTCCCTTCCAACCCAAACCAGTCTATGGTTCTATGATTCGGAAGTATCAGAGAGGCAGACACCACAGGACTGGGGGAGCAGACATGAGCTAAAAGATTAAAAAAACCCTAAGCATTAAAGCAAATAAGAGAAAGTCATCTCAAAAATATCTTATCTACCTCGTTTCTGAATTTGCAGCACTTTGACTTCAAAACCAATTGCACTAGGTATTGCTTTGCATGCCAAATACCACTCCAAATTTTCCAAGCCACTTGCAGGACTCGTCTTGATTAAATCAAGTAATACAAGAACAACATCCAGCGACACACCAGAAACACTGACCAGCTCCTGCTGGAATATCCATGCATGGCTATATTCAATAATCGCTTGTGGCAAAGAGTGTTCATGATCAAAGAGACTGTTAGCACAATCCACATAATGGTTTTCCTGAAGGATGTTTGTTCAGATGTGAAGGTTGGAAATTGTGTATCATTCAGTGGATATCAAAAGGAAAGCTCCCCTCAGTCTGCCTGAGGCATGGTTGAATTTAATGCTCAGGGGCAAGGGGAAGGAAAGAAAGAAAAAACTCTCAAAAAACCCCACCAAACCCCAGAGACAGTGAGCCAGTAACATTCCCTGAAGGGGGTCATCTTTGACAGATCTGGCGAGAACATTTAGCATTTTAATTTCTTATTATTCTTTAAATTCTGGTTTTTATTTTCCAGTATCTATACTAGGTTTTTAAGACTCTTAAGCCTGGACATGAAGGACAATGTAAGCAGAGTAATTTTGAATACTTGCACTGAGGAGCTGAAAGGTGCACATTGTATTTTACATGCAAATATTAAACTTATCTTTTGAAAGACATATAGATATTCAGCCAGTTAGAATTATTTATACTATTATTTATACTGTGCTGCATTCAAAACTGGCAATAATACAGACAAATCTTTGCTCTATGCCACAAGGTAACCTTAGGTTTCTTCAAGAAGCCCATAAACTGGAATGGCAAATAGCTACAGCCCAGACTTCTCAAAGGAAATTCAAATAAAACCCAGGAGGCCAATTTACATATGGAAATGGAAACACAATATAGATTTATAAATAACAACAATGACAATTAAGAACATTTAATTAAAAGTTATGCACCCTATGGGTATGTCTCTAGTCAAAGCACAGTAATATTAAAGTACCCAAATCCAGATGCACTTTAGCTGTGGTAACACAGACCTTTTCTATGGTTGTCTTTATGCTATGTTACATATTCTCTTGTTGCTACCCAGAGAACTAGTTTAGCAGCGTAAGCATAAGCTGAGATAACATCAAAAGTGCAATGTTGTAGAGTGAGAAAGGAGGTGTGAAAACATGATCAAGTACTTTTCTTCCAGAAGTCTTCTCTGCTGTGTAAGGTAAGTCTGTGAGAAGCGAGATCAGCTGCATTGCCAGACAGATCACGTACCCGTGACAGCACCTGAGACAGGAGCTGGGAGTTATCCTCTTCTGTGTGTCCAGTTCAAAACACACTGAGACAGGTTTCCGGTGATCAGAATTTGTGGTGTTTAAGCAATTCCTAAAATGCTAGCTAAAACATAACTAAAACGTTTTAGACCTAACACTTTGAAGAGTTTTTGTATGAGCGAGAGCTTCATTAGGAAGGATCCAAAAAGCATGAAGAGTATTACAGCATCAAAACACCAGAAATGGATAGACCTGAATCCATTCCAGTTGTTTCACTAAATTCTTTTAGCAGTTAGCAAAGGCATAGTATCTGCATTTAGAGCAGAACTATGACACTAAATTCTATTTTTAATATTAAATTATTTTTTGGATTCGTTTAATGCAGTATCACTTTTCAAGTGGCATGCTGCAACATAATAGAAATTATAACAGAAAAATAATATTATCATAATTAAACCTATTGATTAAATAAGTTTATTGTGATTAGAAAGACAAAATAACTGCCATGCCTATTAACTGAGCAACAATTCCCTGAAACAACAATATTTCAATACCCTGACAGATCGGATGAAAGGTTTTATTGTATTTTCAGTAAGCCAATCTGGTCTGTCACACATTCAATTTTTAATGCCAATGCCAATGACAGCATGTGTTTTTAAATGTAGCTACATCTGCCACTGTTAATTACTGAGTCATCTGACCCCTGTACTGCAAAACACCAACATTAAAGCATCAAAAAAAGCTACTTGCCAGAAAGCCACTTCCTTGTGCTACCCAGCAAGTTTTCTGATCCTAAAAGACGCTGTATTTGACCACGGCAGACAGCACGAGGAAAGAAATCTGCAGCAGATCTCAGCAGCAACCCAAACAAAACCTGCTGGATTCAAAAAAGGCTACACATAGCACCAAGTGACCTGCAGTAGACTTGCTCATCAATAGATCCTTCCTTCCTGAAACAGCAAGTAGTACTGTTTGTAGAGAGAAGACTACGTAGCACACACACAGAGGTTTATTAAAGATATTTCTCAAAAAATATATGTGTTATTAGTAAAATGGAGGTGTTAGTCTTATTGTTTTTGTATGTAAGACTTACTAGTAGTCTCATTGTTAAAGAAAAAGGAAACAATGCCTTTTGATTGCTAACAGCAAAGGGAAGACTCTAGAAGATCAGCACATTTTGAAAATGCAAGCATGGAATCATTAGTGATGTCTATGTATTTTCAAGATCTGTAGCACTTAATGATGACAGTTTGTTTTATTAAGCTACATACAATTAAAGCAGATAAAAACAAGTCATTGCTTTAATGCTAACAATAAGGAAAAACAGCTTCCAAGAAGTACCTTTCTTTGAACTGTAATAGGAAAAGGAAAGGGAAACAATTACAGATGGGAAATCCCAGAACAGAGCAGCCAACCTAATATTTGCATATCCTGTGAGAAAAGAAAGAGGGAATTGCTACCAGCAGAAGCAACAACATTAAAACATTTACTAAAATATAAGCCCACAATAGAGCTGCCAAACTAGTAAGTACTTAAAATAAATGAAAATAAAGGCACAACTGTTTCTATCAACAGCAAGAAAGCAGAACTTTATTAGCAGAACTAAAGATACATCTACACCAAAGTGGGGCAGCACCTTAGAGAAACCTGAGAAATCTCTGGGCAAGATGGCATGTCAACATAGCACAGATGAATGCCACACAAGGGTACTAAGTGGTTTCCAAAGCAATATAATCACTTTCTTGTGCCTGGATCTCTTAAGTATTTCAGATGTTCCTTGTTCTGGAATTAGTCCATTCTGAATAAACAGGGAATTACTGTCCCAGGCCCATTTGCAAACCACAGGTACCTGTTTTTAAAAAGGACAACCCCTTCCTCCCCGAAATCCACACACAAAAACCCCCAAAACACCAGCCCTGACTTAGCAAGACTCTTAACACCTTAGAAGGTTGAACCCTACCATGAGAAAGGTAGCAAGAAGTAACCACTGTAATAGAAGGGAAGACAGGATAAAGAAATAAGGATAGATGTTTTACATCTTGTATTCACGATCTGATCATTTCAGATCCCAGAAGACTATAAACACCAAATAAAACTACTGATCACCTATATTATTTTCTTAGATTCATAGGATTACAAAACCAGAACGTGTATTGAAGCAATAAGAGGTCATTGCAAAGTGTTGTTCTTACTTCATGCCTGCTTGAATTTTACTCCACATTGGAAGGTGTTAACTACTTTTAGTACAAGTGAAATTATTATACTTACTACTCCCCACCACAGGGCATCTGCATAGCTGCCAAACTCTGTTTCTCCAGAATCATTTACAGCATCTTTTTCAGCCAGGTACACAAAATAAGAGGAAAAAATCAGGCCCAGAAATCCAATGTAGAGTGTAGTTATCAGTTCCTGCAAAGAGAATCAAGCCAATGGCATTATGATATTGTTGAGACACCTACATTACCTATCAGTGATGGGTTTTTGAAAGGTAATTGGAACAGAAGAATGTAATTTCAGTAATTAATAAACACTGACACTGACTGTTGGCTGTGGAAATTAACAAAAATCCACTGAGCTTGATGGTGAAAGAATTTACACTTTGATGACTTGGTCCAGCATGTACAGGTCACACACAGAGTCCAAACAACCTCCTCACTTTCAAGGGTGACACATTAACCTTTTGGTCACCAAAAAGTAGCTGGGTAATTTTTTTCCAAACGATTCCACATTCAAAACAACTTTGGAATTTAAATACTTATTTTTAGAAATATTCAGACTAGTTTTCAGAAGTTTTGTTTTCTGTGGTGAAGTCCAACTACAAGTCTGCATCAATTATTATGCTACTCCTCGGAGTACTCCAGCCTACCTGTCTGTGTATGAACACTACTGATCCCAGCAGCCTCCAGGTACCTCCCTGACGGTCGACATGCAGCATTCGTAAAATCTGCAGAAATCGGATGCCCCTGGAAAACAGTTTTTAAATGAATGAAGAGACTAAAGATACACGAGAAGAAACAGAGGCAGAGATGGGAAGTCTATCTCTTCCAAAAAGACTATTTTAATTGAGCAAAAGATAGCATTTTATGACTTAGCAGCCTGTCTCTTCGCTCCATTCACCCATCCCTCATCTTGTTTGTTATGAAGACCAGCATAGGGAGACTGCACAAGAGAAACCCAGACCTTTGTATGCATGGTTAGTAAGGATTACTCAAGGATTCAGGAATTTTGGACACAAACTGTGAATGCTCTAGAAATCATTCATCAACTCATATTTGGCCTGCTCACCAGGGTGGCAAACAACATAGAGAAACAGAAAACTAAAGATCTGAATTCCCCACCTTTGAGGAATTTCATAGACAATTTGAACTAGGCAGTCCAATAATATTTTAAAGTATTCTTTTTATGAGAGTCACTGCAACCCTAGAGCTTTGCTGCAGCCAGCACACAGAGCACAGTACACTGCCCTGTGCTCTCTCATTCAAGAACACTAAGTGGTGTGACCTTCCAGAGCACAGCCCATCAGGGATTCACAACCACTACCCACAGGCATTTTATGAAGAAGCAGCTTGAAGACCTCAGAGACATGAAGCATGAAAGAGTTCCTATAAAACTGAGCCAAGAAACTAAACCAGGATTTGGGTAGAACCCACCTAGTTGGAGAAAGGGGGCGGGGGTATGTGCACTTCTATCCTCACCAGACATAAATGCATTAGGACCAGACAACACATGCACAATTT